TGCTAATTAACTTACCTCTTGTATAAGGCAAGAAAAGATATTATCTTGGAGTCAGTGATTCATGGAAAAACCACAAACAGGACTCGTCAAGTGCCATAGAGACACATCAGTGTCTGATCTGTGTTGAGGGGTTTGTTTTTCTTTTCTTCATTACTACATACTGTGTTGAAAGATTTGGCTTGTCCCATCTGCATGCCTGATTTTAGGGTTGGGGTTTTTTTTTATGTCAATGAAGCAGGGGCTCCCTAAAACCGCACGTGCTGTGGGTGCACCAAGGCCATGGGAATAGCAAGTACACCATATGCCATACCTGCTCCCTGAGGCTATTATGTGACATAATGCTGCAGATCTCGTTTGAAGTTGTTGTTTGTCATAATAAATGTTATTAAATGTCCTGGTTTGTGCTGAATCTGTTGAGATACATATAACCTCTTTGTACTGTAGTAAAGTACATACAAAAAAAGTTCCCTGCCACAAAGCAGAGGGCAGAGAAAGTGTAGTAATCTCTCCTGTCTGGCCTGCTGCTGCTTTGCTTATACTGAAATATAACTAGTTGGTTAAATAAGGGAAGTGGAGGTGGTGGAAGGTGGAAAGAAGCTGGAAACCATAATAGTTAAAAGATGCTTTCAGCTCTGGAACTGACTTTATTCAGGTATTGTAAAACTGTTTTCATTGATACTATGGCTACAGCTGGTTTCATGAACAACATCCCTGAATTATCCTTCTCTAATATGTGTTCAGAAATTTTTATTTAAAAGGTGTCCAGGCCCCAGGAGCAGTTAACTACATCCAGAGAGCATAGCTGTGCCCTCTGGGGCCAAAGGCAGTCAGTTCTTCCATGAGAACCAGCAGGTAAGAAATACCTGTTTCCATGGTCTTACACGTTCATGCAGTTGCTCTTGTTCCTGGGCATCCCATGGTGCTCAGCCTTGGGTGCTCTATGCAGCCGGGCACCTGACTTGGTAACTGAACCTCAGGAACAACTGTTATCTAGGGATAGTGAGCAGTGGGACCACTCTGAGGAGGGTGCATGACTGTGCAGTCCCACCAGTAGCCTCCTCTTGGTGTGAGCGCTTCAGGCATCGTTACACCATATGCCATACCTGCTCCCTGAGACTATTATGTGACATAATGCTGCAGATCTCGTTTGAAGTTGTTGTTTGTCATAATAAATGTTATTAAATGTCCTGGTTTGTGCTGAATCTGTTGAGATACATATAACCTCTTTGTACTGTAGTAAAGTACATACAAAAAAAGTTCCCTGCCACAAAGCAGAGGGCAGAGAAAGTGTAGTAATCTCTCCTGTCTGGCCTGCTGCTGCTTTGCTTATACTGAAATATAACTAGTTGGTTAAATAAGGGAAGTGGAGGTGGTGGAAGGTGGAAAGAAGCTGGAAACCATAATAGTTAAAAGATGCTTTCAGCTCTGGAACTGACTTTATTCAGGTATTGTAAAACTGTTTTCATTGATACTATGGCTACAGCTGGTTTCATGAACAACATCCCTGAATTATCCTTCTCTAATATGTGTTCAGAAATTTTTATTTAAAAGGTGTCCAGGCCCCAGGAGCAGTTAACTACATCCAGAGAGCATAGCTGTGCCCTCTGGGGCCAAAGGCAGTCAGTTCTTCCATGAGAACCAGCAGGTAAGAAATACCTGTTTCCATGGTCTTACACGTTCATGCAGTTGCTCTTGTTCCTGGGCATCCCATGGTGCTCAGCCTTGGGTGCTCTACGCAGCCGGGCACCTGACTTGGTAACTGAATCTCAGGAACAACTGTTATCTAGGGATAGTGAGCAGTGGGACCACTCTGAGGAGGGTGCATGACTGTGCAGTCCCACCAGTAGCCTCCTCTTGGTGTGAGCGCTTCAGGCATCGTTCCTGCTGCCTCTGGCGGCAGCGCTGGGGCTGCTGCAAGGAGAGGGGCAGGGAGAGGAGAGCTCAGGCTGTGTGGCCTTCCAGCAGCCTTTCCCACTGCAAACTCACAACTCTTACAAGAAAATGAGGAAAAGACCGTTATATTGACTTCCTTCTTCATGTCAAAGGCTTGTGTAACTGGACTCAGGAAGAAGCTTCAACCAGGGCCTCATCGCAAAGCAGAACAAGCCCTTTGCTTGGACAAGGCACTGCCTTACAGAAACCAGAGCTAAGCAGTGTCTGGCTTCTTGACTTTGATATTTGGTGCCCATTTCTCTGCAGGTAAGTAGGAGACTTACACCTTTTATGACAAGCTAGCCTTGATGAGATCTCTTCATTCAGCATAAATACTTGAGTAGAAAAACACTTCCCCCCCTGTGGGAGCATAGTTCCACAGAGAGGTATCTGAGCCGGAGCAAAATAATGTGGGGCATGTTTTCTCGTCTAGAAAATACTATTTATTGTACATATGAAAATAGCAATCTTGATTAGGAGCAGAGATGCAACAGTAGGTGGTACAATACAATTGATCTGATCATCTACTGCTCAGCAGTAACTTGTAGGAAGCTGGGTTTTGCCCGTTGTAGATTAACACATTAGGTATCTGTTGGGGTTTTATTTCTTCCTTCCAAAGAAACCAATGTTGTACATTAACAGGTACCATAAAATGTTATATTTGCAAAAGAAAACATTCATATAAATAGTTTTTAGTATCATTTGAAGATTGTATTAAAAAAAAGCTACATTAATTCAATACTGATAAAAATAAAACTTAGCTTTGGTAGCATATAAAAACGCTTCAAAACAAGTATATATAAATAACTTAATTTGTAAACATAGAAAAAAATCTTATGTATATATAAAAATAAACATCTGATGCACTGTACAATAAGACATTATCCTTCATAGGCACTGGCATAATTGATCAACAGGAGTCCCCCTAGATGTTTTTCCTACAAAAACTGCTTTATCACTAGTGCCATGTCCAAAACAAAAGGGAAAAAAGCGAAGCACTGAGCAAATCTTTTGGGAATTGTATGAAGTTCTCCCCTATCTCTTCTGGAAAACCATGCAAGCAGCATTTGGGACAGAACCAATACACTGTGCTGCCATATTTTCTTTTTTCTAGGGCTTTTATGTACTGCCTTGTTTACTCTTTTCTTTCTTGGTTTCTATTAAAAGGGGGCACTTTATGATAGGCTGCAACTCTGGAAATGTGCCTTTTCACTCAGTTGCAGAAAACTTGGTGAGGGCTTTGCCCCATTTTTCTTGATGGGCTGTGGGAGATGCATGACACTTGAAGTGAACCATGCCATGACTCAGTTTGGCCTTCTAAGGAGGCTGAGCCTCACTAGGAGACCAGTAAGACAGTGGTGTTAAGATTATAACCATGACCATCTAAAGATAAAACAGATTTGTAAGTGAAAGGTTTTGTTTGTTGTCCTACCTGATATAGTTGGAGGGGGAAGCCTTGGGCTGATATGTCTCAAAACTGCTATTTTCTTAAATATCAATTTAAAATAACTATTCTCTTTTAAAACTTCATATATTAATAACAGGAAGTAACATAGAAGCTGAGAGCCAAAATTACACCTATGCAAAGAGATAGTAAAAGTAGCTCTTGGCTCTTGAACGCAAAGGAGGGAAGTGCAGCTAACTCCCCCTATGCTGGGAAAACGCATCTTTTGCTGGAAGTAACTGTTGAAATAGCAGACACTGACTCTGGTAAGGTGGATGCTTGAATACATAGTTCTCACTTGACAAATTGAAAGTGCAGCAGCTTCTTGAACGTTGGTGGGCTGTTTTGAGCTGAAGAAAGCATATCTCAGAAGCTTTTATTGCTTAGATAAAATATATTAAGTGATTCTTTACCATTGTGCTGAAGCAGTAAATGATGTTACTCAGATATTTGACCTGGTTGTGGTGTTTAACTTCAGGAATGTGTGACCAAACTGGGGTGTGTGTTGAACAAACATGTAAAGCCTGACAGCAGCATTGTTGGACTAAGTTCAG